TTATTTAACCCTTTGTAACCTCTAGGCTTTCTACATTTCCTGGAAAGTTGTTTTTACCTGAACACAGATTCATCTCAGAATAATCTCACCAACTGTGTGTCTGTTCTTCTCCTATCCCTAGTAATAAAATTTCTTGGTTGTATTAAAATAAATTTAATTAAATCTGTCTTTTAGGGATGCAAGTTAAATGTATTGGTTTTGACATTGTAAACCTGTCCTTAATGATATGGGCACAGGATATTTAAGTGTAGGACATTTAAAGGAAATGATAGTTCTTCCATCATCAGCTTCTATGGGTTTCAAGATAGTAATCTAGAAATAAGGAAATGTCCACCTCAATGCTACATTCAGTTTACCTTGTGTCTATTCAGATAGCGCCTGTTCTGTGGGCTTGAAAAGGGGAACAGAATTATTTGCTATTAATTAATGCTTATTATGTGTTATATAATGAAAACACTTTATAAAGTGTAACATTTAGTGGAATTTCAAAATTTCCCAAAGAGAAAATTACTCACTTAACCTTGAAAATTTTTGTGAGCTCTGATTACTATAAACTCTAACAAACAGCTCTTAAAAATCTCATGACTGAATTGTCATAGGTAGTTTTATTTCATCATCTGGACAAGAATGAAGGAATCAATCATCACTAGAACTTTAAGAATGTTTGTAAAAAGCACATTATAAAAGAAAAAAGTTGTTGTTTTTCTAAGGTAGAAGGCTGAAAAAAAGAAACAAGAAGATAATATTAATTTCTCAGAATTTCTGAATATTATAATGCCCTTGCAATTATTATTGACTTTTTAAAAATGTGTTCTAATTAGTTATACATGACAGCAGAATGCATTTTGATTCATTGTACACAAATGGAGCACAACTTTTCCTTTCTCTGGTTGTACCCAATAGAGTTGTACCGTATATGCAGTCATACCTGAACCTAGGGTCATGATGTTCATCTCATTCCACCATCTGACCTACTACTCTCATGTCATACTTAATGACTTGGAAAGGAATTTCTAACATTTCTTGTTTCATTAAAAAAGAATAAATAAACAATATGTTCACCTAGTTCAAAAACCATAAACTACAAAAATAACACCTTTAAATTCTCTCTTTTATCTGTCCAAGGCTTAGCACTTTCCCTTTTCCCAAACACCACCCCCTGAACTTTAAAGATTCATAGACATTTTTGTAGCCTTATACTCAATCTAGCTTGCCTGTTTGCTTCCTCTTTCCTTTTATTTTTTATGTTTTTAAATTTCGTTCTTTCTGGCACACAGGCTGACCTTGAATATACAATCCTCCTGCATCAGTCTCCCCAAATAGCTGGGATTGCAGGAGTGTGCCATCATGCCCAGCTATAGCTTTTTAATTTCTTAATATATACACAATCAGATAAAAATATACTTTTTCTGAGCTGGGGTTGTGGCTCAGTGACAAAGCACTCACCTAGCGTGTCTGAGGCACTGGGTTCGATCCTCGGCACCACATAAAAATTAATAAACAAAATAAAGGTATTGTGTCTATCTACAACTAAAAAAAATACATTTTTTATCCCTGAAACTATTTCTACATCTTTCTGTATTGATATGTAGAGAGCATGCTCATTCTTTTATATAATGGAACCCTATTCTACTGAATGAATAGAAAAATCTTATGTGGACATTTCAGTTTTTATCTTTTGCTATTATAAAACAGCACATACTGACTACATCATGCTGTTCTTTTGCTAGAATGCAGGTTAATTCCCCAAAATGAAACTGAGTAAAAGAGCATACACTTTTCATTTCGGTAGATATTGCTAAATTGCCCTCCATAGGATTATGCCAACCCATACTCCTTCCAGCAATCTATGAGTTCCATTTCCCCATGAATAATAGAATGTGTTACCAACATTTGGATTTTTCCTTTTAGGTGAGAGAAACTTTAATTTACACTGGTAAATTACTTACATATACTTTTAATATACATTTGTAAATGAATTTATTTTTTCAATTGTTAAAACAGCAATTCTTTTGGTTCTATTTTATTTGGGGTAGGGGGGCACCAGGGATTGAACTCAGGACACTCCACCACTGAGCCATATCCCCAGGCCTATTTTGTATTTTATTTAGAGGCAGGGTCTCACTGAGTTGCTTAGTGTCTAGCCCTTGCTGAGGCTGGCTTTGAACTTGCAATCCTCCTGCCTCAGTCTCCAGAGCCACTGGGATTACAGGCATGCACCTCAGCCCTGGGCTTCAATTTGGTTCTTAATGATGTTATCTATTCACATCTCTTTAATTTTTTCTCCATATTTCCAGTATCAATTTCTAATAAGTCTTTACACAAAAAGGCAGCTCACCCATTGCTTGCGATATGAATTGAAATTTTCTTTCTTTATAAATTTTTAAATTTGTTTGAATTAGTTATACGCGACAGTAGAATGCATCTGTGCACTTTCATGTATCACACATAAATGGGGTATAATTTCTCATTTTTCTGATTGTACTTGTTTATGTTTTGTTTCCCTGAAGATAGGAACTATAATAGCAGCTAGAAGAATTACTTATACCAGGTACTCAATAAACATTTGTATTTGGCAGATTTAATGTGTTATGGCTTCCTGTGACAGATACTTCTTTAACTTTGTTCCCGCAGAAACCAGTGTTCCAAAACCAGGTAAGGCATTCTTGCTTCCCACTGGGCTCAGTTTGTTAATGCAGACTAATATTTCTATGTGGGAGCTTGAATAATAAGAATCAGATTGAGCCAACACCAGAATAAAAGTCTTTTCCTCCAAAAGATCTTCATTCTACCTGAAAATTTTCACCAAGACAGAATCCAGATATAACAGAAAGAATTTAGTAGGTAGCTGCTGAGGAACAGTAATACAGTAATAGAAAAGTGTCTTAATAGAAAGACCTGGTGTGGTGGCGTAGCCTGTAATCCTAGTGACTTGCGAGACTGAGGCAAGAGGATTGCAAACTCAAAGTCAGTCTCAGCAAAAAGTCTCTTACAAAAAAAAAAATTTAAAAGCCCAGATTACAGATTAGTGGTAGAATGTGCCTTGGTTCAGTCCCCAGTACCATTTAAGAAGAAAGGAAGGAAGGAAGAAAGGAGATGCAAATTGGGTGTCAGGATTTGAGAATTTTGGTTCCAGTTCAGCCAAGATAGAAGACATTTGTTGGTTTTGTTGTTTTATCACCTCAAAATTTTTTTTTTCCTTATGTCTGAAGAGGATACCTTAAAATTCTTCTGGGACCCATCCCTTCCACCACTCAGTTCACTTTGCCTTAAGAAAAAACAAGTTACTTATCAATGAGATCACTACATCTTCCAAGACACAGGAGCTCAGAGACATGCCTTTTATTCCATGACAGCCAATAAGATGCAGTGAGATATTTTCTGGAATTCCAAAGCAGGCAATAGAAATTAGTTCTAAACCAGTGAGGATATGACCCCGGAGCTGCTATAAACAATTTACCATCAGTGAAACCCAAGAGTTAAATAAATATACACACAAAGAAGAGTTAGGTCAGGAAAAACTCCCTAATTCTGATGACATTTCTTTGTCCTTCAAAATAATCTTGCTTAATGTCAGTACTATTCCTTGATTTTTCAGGTAGGTGCACCAGTAAATCCCACCCTGTTTTGTTTGTTTGTATTAAACCATTGATTCACCAAAGTACTCGGGGGTATAAGGTTGGGCAAAGATCACTTTAAATTCTAACATCATGATCTGAATCAATATGTAGTTTTCACATTTTGGATAACTTACAAAATACCTGAATCCATGTATTAACTAGTCGGGTGTTACTGGACCTCCACTTTATTCCTAAGGAATGTGAACAGTTCCATTTTCCATATTTTCCCAAGAAAATAATGTGCTCCAACTAAATATGTGGGTACAGACTTTTCTTGATTTTATGGCACTTTCTTTTGCTATTTGTCATTATGCCTATCTCGTTGAAGTTACCTGCTTTCAGCTACTTTGCCTTAGGATTGGTTATTACCAATAAAATCTTGGCATGTGTCATCTATAATTAGGTCTGGTTAGCTGAGGGAGATATCCAATAGTGACAGGAGTTTATTTCCTCTTCATGTAAAGGCAGTTTGGAAGCAGGCTGTAGCTGGTAGAGCAGCTCCTTGAATACGAAGGACCCAGCTCTTGGCTCTGCATCCAAAATGTTTTGCTTTCTACTCACAGTCTATGACAAATATGATCTCCCTATTCTTTGGACATTAAAATGTTTATTCTTCCATAGAAAATGTGCTGATTTTTTCTCCATGTCCTTTACCTTTAATATCTAAAAAATGGTTGGAATAGTAAAAACTACTTAAATATTAGCTACCATTATGACCAAACTTTGTGCTAGAAATTTTATGTAATTTTCTTTAATTAATGCAATCACATCGAAAGGGAACACTATCATCACGGTTTCATAGGTAAAGAATTTGAGGATTAAGAGTGCTTAAGAAGAGAGAAGAGCAGCTGAACTGCCCAAAATCACAGTTACTGAATGACAGTGCCAGCACTCAAACCTAAGTTTACATGAAGCCAAAGCCCATGCTTAAAAAAAAAAACACTTTCTAAACTAAACACTAGAGATTACATGTAAATTACAAGTTCTGTTAAAAAAAAAATCTGCTTTATGTTCCCTCTAAATCTCCATATTATTCTGTCTTCCAGTAGCTTGGATCTGGATGATTTAACCCAAACTTCCATTTTCTTTCACTATCAAAGAAAACTAATTCTCACATACAGTTAACTCCAAGTTTACAAAGCTCTATTTTAGAGGCTTTTCCTTTCAGAGAAGAGTTCATACCTGTTGAAATCCATTAAAACTTTGGTTGTAACCTTAAAACAGTAACCATACTCTCAGGACAACCACCATGAAATTATGGAATATATTGTGAAACAGAACTTTTGTGCTGTCTGGAGGGAGGAGAACAGAAGATGCAATGTAACTGGTACTGGGATTTAGGGGCATGGGAAAAATAATTTGAAAGACTCACTAAAATCATTCAGAAATCATTCCAGAAATGGAAGCACACTAGAACAGTTAATTTTATTTGTTCAAGAGCTCTTATTGCAAGCACTAAAACGAGCCTGGGCTTTGATCCTGTAGCCCATATCGCATATTAAAGAAGCAGCAAACTGACCCACATACATGGATGCACACTAAAGGTTCAGGTTTTCCAATTTCTATAGCCTGGAGCTCGGTAGTCACAGGTCTTTTAGGTCCTTCTGGATGTCCCACAGGGTATCTGCACTTTTCTTGAGCTGAGCAACCTCATCATCCTTCAGCTTCTGGTTGATGACACTGGTTAATCCCCGAGCATTGAGGACACATGGAAGGCTCAGGAAGACTTCATTTTCAATGCCATACATCCCCTGCAAGAAAAAAATGCATTTGATTAAAAATGATCAAAGGAACTGTGTTTGAACAGAGAATTGTAGAAAACTGGATAAGCAAAAACTCATTCTAGACTCATGTTTTGAAGTAGGGTTTCTACATGAAGAATGCAAACGTGAACTATGATAAAACTAGATAGCTATAAGAAAATAATAAGTCCTTGACTGAGCTTTACTGAATGTGTTTTATTGAACATTGCTCTCTATTTAGATGCACTTGAATAAAATTTGATAAATGAATCTTCAAATTAGATTGTTTCCAATTTCAGTTCTTTTTTTTAAAGAGAGAGAAAGAGAAAAATTTTTAATATTTATTTTTTAGTTTTTGGTGGACACAACATCTTTATTTTATTTTTATGTGGTGCTGAGGATCGAACCCAGCGCCCCATGCATCCAGGCGAGTGCCCTACCGTTGAGCCACATCCCCAGCCCAACTTCAGTTCTTAATGGATTACTTTCACAAAACCCCAGGTTTCTTAAAGATTTTTAGTTAAGGAAGGAATTAAATAGGTGGTAATATTTAATAAGTAGAAGGAACAATGAATGAGGATGGCCAACCTGATGTCCTAAGGAGTAGCTGGAGGCCACTAAAAGCTGAGATTCTTGTCGCACCCAAGAGTTGCTGACAAAAAAATTACCATTTCCAAAAGCACTTTACTAGTCATATTAGGTAATTTATTCAAAGGGTCAATTTAACTCTAAAACTAGTCAGATTACTTAATTATATTAAGGTTACTTCAATACAATCTTTTAAACTTTTAATTTCAAAATTTTTTGTACATATATAAAAGTACAGTACATATCCCAAGACGCTGCCATTACTCAATTTTTGCCATACTTGCTTTTTAAAGTTACTATTTTAAAACAAACATCTGATACCATGTTTTATCCCTAAAGACTTCTGTGTCTCCCTTCTGCGTGTTTGTTTTTGCTTACTGCACTCCCCACTGATTTTTTTCACCCTTGACATTGACTTGTGGAAAACGAGTCAGCTGTCTTACACAATGCTTCAATATAATCTGAACTATTTTGTGGTTTTGCTCCACAGCTTTTGAATGATGGTAAATTTATTAAGGTATCGAGTATACATGACAGGTGGGTCTACAAGTTCATCACACCAACTTAAAATGAAACTGTTATACACATGCAAATAATCATATATTGTAAGGGTATGCTGAATAAGATTCATTCGTAATGTTTAATTTGCCACATCATAGAAGAAAAAATTATAAAAAATTGTCAGATGTCATAACTTCCTCAAGTTTTGTGCTCTTGTTCTAGACTTCTATTGGAATAAGGAAAAAGTTTATACAAAACTTTGAAATACAGAAAAAATTGTGAACTGTAATTTTACCTTATCCTTTAAAAAATAAATTTGTTTTAGAATATAATGCTCACATTTACATATTTTTCACTGTATGACTTACCTTTACCATGGTTGATACTGGGTGAATTCTGGATAGATTTTTAAACATGGATTCAATGAGGTCAGCCACACTTAACCCAATAGCCCAGTTGGTATATCCTTTTAGCTTGATGACTTCATAGGCACTAAGGAAAATAAATCATAAAGATCACTAAAACCAGAGCCCTGGGTTTGACTTCTGTTTTATTTTCTTACTAACTGTAATCTTGGATAAATTATTTTATGTTTCTTGCCTGTTCCCTCTTTTTTAAAATGGACGTAATGTTATCTATTTAAATAGTGTTAAATTAATTCATATACAAGCAAAATGCACAAACTGCAAATAGTGTATGATAGGCCACAGAAAAAGGATGGGGGTAATCTTTAGTTGAATGTAAAAGATCAGCACAGGACAGTTTAAATACTTTCAGCAATCTGCCTTTGGTACTTTTCAAAGGCAATTATGAGATGACATGTATCTAGGTTTACCTTCCTAAGTAAACTAAACTTATTTGTTGACAGGAGGCAACATGAAGGCCCTCCTCCCTTGTTAATTCCATGTTGGGCTAGGGTTACCTCTGTAATAGATCTCTCTCTAGAGAGAAAATATTTGCTTTCCCTAGGGGGACTGAAATAGCAAGCTTGACCAGTCTAAGGTGATAACTACATACTGACTACATTTAATCAGTTTAAGCAGCCATGAAAACTATTTGCAATTTTACCTAGGTAAACAGGAAAAGAAATCATCTTAAACCAAGCTCCCTTCCACTTGCCTTTCAACCACCATCTTATGCACTTCCTTCCAGTTTTCACTATCGTTGTCTGTTCCCATTTCTGGATTTAGTTCCTGGAGAGAAACACCAGCCACGTTCACTCCACTCCACACAGCCACTATTTAAAAAAAAAAAAAAAAAAAGACCGGCCATCTAAAATTTTTTTATTTTTAAAAATTTCTTAATCCAGATTCTGCCTCTAATGCAAGTCACTGAATACCGGCTGACACCGCCCAAATGAAAAACGCTGTAAGAACAGCCCCCCCCCCCCAAGACATTTGATCTGATACTTGCCTTCAAATAGCAACATTTCTGAACTTTTAATTTTCAATAAGTTTGGTGCAAAATAATCACCATGTCATAGTTACAAAGAATATGGAAATTCTTTGCCTCTCTCTAGGTTTGTCAAATCACAATGTATTCTAGTTTGGGACCATCCTGAATTTTTGATTTGAGTAGTTTTCAAACTTGCCTACTGCTTACTTTTTTCTAATAGAACCCATTTCTTCTAAGTAAAAAATTAACTAATTAATTAATCAATTCATCTAGGGTAAGACCCCCAAACAGAATAATTACACCCAAATACAATGAAATATGTAAGGGTCTGCTTAATTTAGGGGAGAAGAATGTCAGGAAGTGTTACAAAGACTGGCATGTGAACTGGACCTGTAAACTTAAGTCATGTGCTCCTCGGGAACCTCTGGAGGAGAACACCCAGACTCAGGAAGTACGAGTGGAGGCAGGGTGAAGTCTTGGGTAGCTAACAGCTATGAAGGCAAAGCTGCTCACAGTCAAGTAAGACCCCATTAATTCACGAAGTTTGCCTCATCAAGCCAGTTTGGCGTTTTCAGGGTCTTTGGTGAAATCTGCATAATGGTGTCCATGTGAGATCAGTTTAATCCTCTTTCATTTCATGTAGACAATACAGATCAATATCAAAATGGAAATAATAATAATAATAATCATATTTGGGGAAAAATCAAGGAGTATTGAGAGAACAGAGCAGTGGACAACAGTCATGGGCTTCCTGTTATGATGCTCCAGGGTACGACAATATCACTTTTGTGGTGTTTATCCAAAAGTACAAAAATTAAACCTAGCCATGAGGAAACTATAAGACAAACCTAAATGATGGACATTCTACAAAATAACTCAATCTGATTTTTCAAAAATGTCAAGATTATAAAAAAAATATAAAGGTTGAGAAAGTATTCCAGATTAAAGAGAGTAAGGAGATAGAGCTAGATGTAATATGTAATGTTAGGATGGCTCCTGAACTGAGAAAAAGGGCTTAGGTAATATTAGGGACAGACAGAGACATCCGCAATGAACTGCGGATTAGGTAATATGGCATCAATGACACATTTCTTGATTTTGGTAAGAGTACTTTGGTCAGAAAAAAGAAAACCCTTGTTTTTAGTAAGTACACACTAAGGGACTTTTGGAGAAAGAGCCAGAGGACTATGATTTATAAACAAATCAGAGTAAATAATGGCAAGACTAAGACCATAAGAATACAGTAAACATTTTCTATTTTTTTTTTACCACTTGAGTCGCCATGTTCTCCCAGAATCCATCCGTGGCAGCTGCTGGGATGAATGCCAAGTTTCTCAGCCATAAGATAGCGAAATCTAGCAGAATCCAGATTACACCCACTTCCAATCACACGGTGCTTGGGTAATCCACTTAGTTTCCAGGTAACATATGTAAGAATGTCCACTGAGTATTTTAGAAAAAATACAGGTAAGTAAATAAAAACTGACTTCAACTGCTATCCCTGGCTTCCTCCTCCCCAATTTCCTCATTTCTCTAAGAAGATGTGGCCAGAAAGATCTAATACTTTTCACTTTTCATAATTAGAGATATGGGTGAGAGAGAAACAAGAACAAACCTTGAAGCATTATTAGAGAGAGACTGTAAAATATGAAATACACAATGAATTATGACTTTCTATTTATATCGTTACCTGACATAAGAATACTTAGGAACCTTGCAGATGGTTTAAGTTGAAAGAAAAGGGTTGAATCAACCTCACATAGATTTTCACCAATTCTAACATTCTATGATGATAACAATTGCCATCACAAACCAAAAACCATTTATTACTAAATTATCCAGGCATGTTATCATATATTATTCAGTAAACTTTTAAAAAATTTTTGTTTTGAGAAAGGATCTCACTAAGTTGCCATGAACTTGAATTGAAGTCCCTAGAACTTGGGATCCTGCTGCCTCAGCCTCTTGTTGACAGTAGGTGATATTAAATTTTTCTACTATTTAATGAAAGGACATCCATGACATAACCTTTGTTTCAGTGTGGCACAGCCTTACAACTCCACAGAGGTAAAACTTCTGTTGGCTCAGATAGGATCACAGGACTTAGATAGAGGAGAAGCTGGAAAGAGCAGAAAAATATGCACACAAGAAGCTCCAAGTCAACTCTGCATCCTCCACCTCGACACTCTGTACATGCTGGCTAAGCTATTTTAAGCTAGAAAGATATATAATCAGTTAGTGACACCTGCCTGAGGCACAGGGTACAGCAACTTAATAGGGCTAGTTGTCATTCCTGTTTTATATCTGCCTATCACATACATATTTATAAACAAGACAGAACCATTTAGTAAGGCCCAATCTAGTTTTAAAGTGGGAAGAATAATACTGAAGTCATCTCTGTCCTTGCTAGCTTCCTACTTACAATGTTCAATAAACTGTAAAGATTCTCCTGGTTCTTAGTCATAGTCTTCCTTTAGGTGAAATACCAAAGATAATCGGTTTCACCATCTTATCAATGTGTCTGCTGTGCTCACCAACACGGCAAATTAAAGACATTATAGAGTAAATATGAACCATTTAAGCTGTCAAAGGACAAAATTACAACTTAGTTTAAGGATCTTAATTGACTTTATTTTTGACTCGAGAATTAGGCAGCACTTCATCCCATAAATTATAGTGTCTGCTTGGCTGAGCAGAAAAGTTTGGTTTTATAAGCAGAGAAAGGCTGAAAAAAGAAGTAATAAAACAACAAGAAGTGGATGGGTCATTTCAGTTACATTCCTTACAAAGTGAGGACAGAACAGTGAAAAATAACCAGTTAATTTCAGACTATTTTAGATGACTTCTTCTGTGTAAAGATTAAAACAGAGCCAAGCATGGTGGTGCTCACCTGTAATCCCAGTGGCTTGGGAAGCTGAGGCAGAAGGATTGCAAGTTCAAAAAACAGCCTCAGCAATTTAGCAAGGCCCTAAGCAACTTAGGGAGACCCTGTCTCTAAATAAAACATTAAAAAGCACAATTCATCTCTAAATAAAATATTTTAAAAAAAGGCTGGGGATGTGACTCAGTGTAAGCACCCTTAAGGTAAATATTCAGTACCAAAAAAAAGGATTAACAACACAGTTGAAACTGCCTGCTTGGGAAAATCGGCTGTTATCTCTCCAGTCCAGATTTATCTGATCTGATGAATGGCTTAGTTTCACTGTGGTGATGTGGACCTCCTGAGTGACTCCATTTTGACTTTTAGCCTGATGTGTTAGAGCCTTGTGCAGGAGCCTGATCCCTAACAATGGCCTCCTTTATTCTAGAAGGCAAAAAAAGTAGCATTGTTTCCAGTCAGAATGTGATCCCTGCATGCAATCTATCTGCATACTTTGAGGATAGACTTAGCAAGGAAAGCAGTTTTTAAGTTATAACATTTGATTTCAGCAAATATTTATCCATCAATATAGCCAATTTCTATTTTTAAAATGGAACTGATTAGTAACTTAAAAATTCTTTTTCAAATTTCAATCTGATTCAATCCTAAAAGTTTTTGTTGTTGTTGTTTTCTTGGTACCTGGGATTGACCCCAGGGATCCTTAACCATTGAGTCACATTCCCAATCCTTTTTATTTTTTGAGACAGGTTCTTGCTAACGTGCTGAGGCTGGCCTTAAACTTGTAATCCTCTTACCTCAGCCTCCAGATACATTGGGATTACAGGCATGTGCCATTTTACCTGGCAATCCTAAAATTTTTTAGAGATTAGGACACCAGATTGGGTTTTCTAGAAGAGAGAAGGTCAAAAAGTTAATTTTTCTTTCTTTCTTTCTTTTTTCTTTTTCTTTTTTTAAACAAATTGAAGCCCTGTTCAAATGTTTTAGCCCTTTTTTATTCTTCCTACCAGGATAATCTTTTAAAAAATTTTGAAAGCCTTTAGACTTTACAATAAACCCGGATGAAAGAATAAGAGGGCAGTGTCATTTATTTTGCAATCATCATCCTTTTGTAGGTAAAAACCAAAGACATGTGAGCCACCTCTGCTAGCAAACACAGGGACTGACTTTAAGTCCAAAACAACAACACAAAAATCCAAACATTAAATAAAACAAAACTGAGACTTAAAATATTATAATACCTGGGTTGGAAACCACAATTATGATGCAATCGGGACTGTACTTGACAATCTGAGGAATAATGAATTTGAAGACATTGACATTTCTCTGCACCAGATTGAGACGACTCTCCCCCTCCTGCTGACGGACTCCTGCAGTTACTACCACGATCTTAGAATTGGCAGTCACAGAGTAATCTTGAAAAAAGGAAGAAAAGGCATTCCTTAAATACAACTTTTCATCAAACATATATGATATGCTCTAGCACTCTAACTAGACATAAGCTTCTAGAACTCAATGACAATTAAGTTTTCAGTATTGAAAGTTTGGGCTGGCGATGCAGCTAAGTGGCAGAGTGATTCCTTAGCATCCACAAGGCCCTGGGTTCAATCCCTAGTACCACAAAACAAAACAGACTTTCAAGTCCAATGTCCCTGCAGCCATTTTCCTCCTTGAGCTACACTGAAGCAATCCAACTGTAAAACTGACTCAAAAAATCAATCAAGGAAATAAAATGACCCTAAATTATGTTTCTACCTAAGAAATTTATTGAATTTTCAGGAATAAACCAAAGCATACAAAGTGAGTCTAAAGTACAATAGGCAGACTTCCAACAACAAAAATCTATTTTTGTACTCTTAGTAAAGGGAGAAAAATTAAGTAAAATAAAGAAAATCAATTTTAAGTTGTTTTTAGGCATATAATGCTAATAAAATCTCAGGAGAAGACACTGTTTTTGGCTATAAACTGAAATTTTAAAGGAGCATATTCACTTTTCAGCAGTATGAACTTCTCTGAAAAATATTTCATTTTTTTGGTCAAAGTATGTCCGTTTCAAAACCTTTGGACTTGAAAATTTAATGTGATCCTTGCATGCAATAGCCATGGAGGGGGTCACAGAACTAAACTGCTATAATGTGACTTTTAACAGTTATTAACACTCTTCTCCCATAAAGTGGAGGTAATAATAGTATTGATCCCTCATAGGACTCTTGTGAAGTAAGATGAGATAATTACATGCAAAAAAAAAAAAAAAAGCTCTACATGTTCCCCTCAACATTACTAATTCAACTAACAATACCTATTATTTGGTTTCTTCGAGGCATTCAAATTGCTAGAATTGGAGGAAAAAAAAGAAACTGCCAACACTGGATTCACCAGGATGGGAAGACCAATTTCCCGTTAGGGAATGAGGGAGAAGAAGCAGCTGAGACACATGGAAATGCAGGTCATTTCAAATTGTGAAGATGTATGTAGGCCCTGCTAGAGGCCTTAGGATACGGACAGGAGCCTATGCAAAGGCAGGAGATCTTTTAAAGAAATAAGTATATTCAAACTTTCATTTGAGGAAAAGATCATCTAATTGGGGTATAAAGTTAACAAGTGCAGTTGCATGGAACGTAGAGTCCACGATCATTTTGTACATGTTCTTCCAATGTGGAAAGGTCAATGTGTTCTATGCCTTTTTAGCAAAGTGGATGGAAAATGAGTTTCTAGAAACTGGTGAAACAAAACTGGACTGTAGGAGAAATATAGTACACAACAACCCAAACAATGCTATTTATCATAATTGGTTATTTTCTCTTAGTGATATATATAGCCATGATCATTGTTGGCTAATAAATTCATTTCTAGTAACTGTCTATTGACAAGGGAATGTAAAATTAATGCCTTAAGGATGAAAATTAGAACATAATACAGGAATAAGTTTTTTTAAAGGAGAAAAAAATTATAATTAGATGAAAATTTCATAGTTTTTGAAGAAAATACTAAAATAGGTCATCAACATTTCATTGTTGACAGTCACTGAAGTATCTGTTCCAAAAGTTTGAGTTTTGCTAATTAATAAATTTAGGACAGGGGTATACCTCAGTGTTACAGCACTTGTCTAGCATGTACAAGGACACTGGGTTTGATTCCTAGCACTGCAAAATAACAATAATTATAAATTCAAAATAAAAGTTAAGTTTATGATGCTGTACGGTGCATTCCAAGTGCATTTTTTTTTTCTCACTAAAAACATCAATTTAATATCAGATCACATTGGGCATGAAATTAAACTACCTTTATCTGCCACAATTTTAGGTGTTTGAAGAAATAAGCTTCCATGCTGCAGATCCATCATTTCTCCTTTGAGCTTATCTTCCAAAACATCCACCAGGGCAAGTTCATCAGCCAGAGACTAAAAACAAACAAAAAAAGCAGGCATTAGTACCTAAAGCCATGCTAGGATGCCTCCACACATGGTCTGTCTCAGAGAGACCATTTAAATGCTAAGCACCATGTAGCTAAAATCCTCAACAATTCTACCTTGAGGTTAGGCATTCAACCATGATTCCATAATACAATTATGCTTTAAAAACATGTGGACTTAAAAACTGATTAATTCAGACACTTCAATGGGAACACCAAGAAAATCCTTATGTGTGAAGATGCATCTCAACCAACCTTTGAAATTCCCATCTCTTATGGATGACCATAATTTACAAACTATTTAAAAAGTGGCTGGGGCTGGGGTTGTGGCTCAGCAGTAGAGCGCTGCCTAGCATGTGCGGGGTGCTGGGTTTGATCCTCAGCACCACATAAGAATAAAATAAAGGTATTGTGTTCACCTACAACTAAAACAAAATATTTAGAAGTGGTTATCCCTCCCATTAAAATACCACTAAAGTTCTTGCCTCTACTGTTTTTAGGACTGTTAGTAAAATAATGAATAATAGGATATGTCAATATTAGAGTTCATTTAAAAATGTAAATACTCCCTCCAGGAAGAGTAGTGTGATCATCCACGTAGGCAAAGGGTATTGATGAAGGAAAAGGTAGGCCACTGGGGTCTAGGATGCAGTGTGAAGGATCAGATACAGTAGGCCAGGTGGAAGTGGAGGAGTCAGGAGGGCACAGGCCAGCAGAGGAAAAGCAGCAGAGAAGTGAGAAGGCAATGAGAAACTTGACCTACTTTAGCTGGAAACAGGCCCTGGTTGCTGTAGGACTACAAATGGGCAGGGTCCCAAGATGCCAGAATGAAAAGGGCCGGCTAACCTCAAAAGTGTTTCAGTGGACTTGATGGGGAGGAGCCTCTCTGAGAGGGAAGGCTCCCTGTAACTGGATGGATGTGAGTTTAATGTTAAACAACTTAATTGCAGTACTTGAAAACTTTTAATATGGCCAATTTGTGAACTGCGGGATACTTAGAAAAATATTTTCTCATTTCCAGGTAGTCAGTCCTGTCTCTGAGGGTTCCACATTCATGAATTCAAATAAACTTGGATCAAAAATATTTTTTTATTTTTGGTACTGGATTGAACCCAGGGTACTTTACCACTGAGCCCTTTTATAATTTTTTAACTCCAGCACCTTTTTCATTTTTTGATACAGGGTCTCACTAAGTGGCTTAGAGTCTTGCTAAATTGCTGAGACTGGACTTGAACTTGTGATCCTCCTGCCTCACCCTCCAAAGTCACTGGGATTCAGGCTTGCACCACAGTGCCAAACAGCCAACAACACTTTCTGGGTTTTTTTTTTGTTTTTTTTTTTTAAGACTACATCTATAGTGAACATGTACAGATTTTTTTTCCTGTCATTATTCCTTAAAAAATATAACAGCAACTTACATAGCATTTACATTGCATTAGGTATTATAAGGAATCTAGAGATGATTTCAAATGTACAGTATAAAGGAAATGTGTAGGTTATGTACAAACGCTATGCCATTGTATCAGATCCTTAGATTTTGGTGTCACAGGGGTCCTGGGATGACTATATATCAAATACTGGTATTGATTTTTTTTTGCATTTTAAAAACCGTTTTATTCCTTTGCAGCCTCTGATAAGATCACACAAAATCCCCATTTGTGTTTTCTAAGTCCTAACAAATACAGTAAACTTAATAATAGCTATAACATTCAGTCAAGGTACTGAACACTAGGAATATCAATCTTATTTTAGAAACGTCAAGTGTATGTGGCTCAAGTCAACAGAGCAACTATTTAGTGCTTAAGTACAAAAGGATGTCACAGGATCTGAGATCCTGTCTCTCTTTTTGAGTGGGTGCAGAGAATTGGCTGAGAAGTGCATTTTTAGCTGACAAGGAAGGAAGAGATCCAGCGCTAAAAAAAAAAAAAAAGAACTGCAGTGCCAAATTTAGCTAAATCTGTATGACTGAATGTCCTCCAAAGGTGGAGGCACACAAATAGAACAAGTGTGACCAAGTACTGATGCTGTTGTTTGACTTAAATAAATCCATTTCTATTCACATGTTCTATATCCTATGAATTTATCATACACATTTTTCACTTAAGCTGTTAAGTTATATTTAAAACAGTTTGAAACAGCAAGGTTTACATTAACTGCAAAAGCAATAATCTTATTATGGAGTAAGACCAGCTAGAAGATAAGAATACCATTGCTGACATCTTGTTAAATCTACCACAAAAGTGTCTTTGAATCTCAAGTCCTATGTGGATTGGGCAGGGTCTTGTGTTCTGCCTTTTGGTTCTTTTAGCTAATAAATTACTAGCACCAATGCCTTAATATTTGATGGTTTCATTTTTATGGTCAAGTGGTTAATGTGCATGAAATTATTTTTCCAAATACCTAACTAAACGGACATGCACTATTTATTCAATAACTTATTTTCTTCCCCTCTGAAATGTCACTTTCACCATATTATTGAATATAATTTGGGTCCTTCTCAGGCTTTTAGTTTGTTTCATTCATCTATCTATCCTTGTACAAATACCAAAATTTAAGTATATACTACTTTCAAGCAAAACCTGGTACTGAAAAAACTACTTTGTTGTTGGGCACAGTGGTGTATACCTGCAATCCCACCTACTCAGGAGGCTGAGGCAGGAAGAATGTGAGCTCAAGGTCAGCCTGGGAAACAGCAAAACACTGTCTCAAAATAAAAATTTTAAAAGGCATGGGGATATAGCTCAGTGGTAAAGTCCTTGCTTAGCATGCATGCAGCCCTGAGTTCAATCCCTAGAAGTATAAAATAAAAAATAAAATAAAAATTGTTTTACAACATGTCTACAATGTTGCTTCTCCTAAGAGTTGTGTTATGTTATGTTTATATCCCAAGAAAGGATATATATGCAGTTATAGTTGACTGAAGCAAGGACATCCAAATCAAAAGACAGTGGGATTCCGGCTGGGGGATAGTGGTGATCTTGCCTGAAAGCTTTGCACAACCCTGACAACATGATGAGCTGACATTCAGATCCTCCTCCTGGCAGCTAAAATGCAGAGTCTGAGATTGGCAAGGCATATTTGGTAAAAGAAGCTGAAAAGGCAAAATTGGGCCAAAATTTGACAAAATTTAAGTGCAATTAATCAGTAATATCCAGAGTATTCATTAGTGTAATGCATATTTCCTATGGAATATGCCAGACATTATTCTACTAATCAAGAATAGAGTCACGAATAGGGATGGGTGCAGTTCAGTGTAGAGCACTTGCCTAGCATACATAACGGCCCTGGATGTGATCCCCATTACTCAAAAATAATAAATAAGTGAATAAATAAAAAAGAACAGAATCAAGAACAAATCCAGTAATTTTTGCTTTCTCAGGATATATAGGAAGGGAATAGGAATTTCTAATGGTAGAAGTGCTATTAAGACCAAAAGGACAAGATCATTGTACTGTCATGTGTAACTAATTAAGACAAATTATATACAAATTATATATAGCAAAAAAATAAAATAAATAACACACTTGTTAAAAAAAAAAAAGACCAAAAGGAGAAGTGATATCAGTGCAGGCCTGCCTGCAAAGGTCATGCCCTTGAATGAGATCCCCGAGTTTATCATTCATGTGCATGCAACTCTGAGGTCTAGGGAAGAACATCCAAGAGAAAACCACATAAAAGGGTTCAAGTCAGAAATGAACTCGGCGTTTGGGAGTAAGAGATGAAGTCAGAGATGGTACGGTGATCATGCACTAGAAGGAGTGGCTATGCTGTGCTGCTGGTACCCCTGGAGCTGTGCACACCTTTTCCTTGCTCTGAGGCAGGCAGAGGCGATCCATATGGCCCTACAGAATTTCAGCAGGCGAGCCACTACTTTGGTTGCTATGTAGGCAATGGCTGGGGGGTAAGCAGATAAAAGGAGAAGCAGAAGATAAAGGAGTCCTCTTAATGGTAGGGCACTGTGCAAGGAAGCCTCAGTTGTCTTGCTAGTCTAGAGAAGGCTTGTGCCTTCACAACCTCTTGCTCTGATACTACAACTTCAACCACCTTCTGGAGGCACAGTAAAATGTGTATTCTGTAGCCATGCGTTCAAAAAGGCCAGGCTTGGCACTTCCAGTCTGGGTGCTCTTAGCCCTTGTGAGGTTTTTCTCCCCAACAGTAAGAGATGTTAATACCTGCTGACAGGTTTCACAAAGAAATTAATAAAATGATAAGCAAACACCTGACGGACTGTTTTCTTTCTCTATTAACCTAGTGAGGTTTCTAATCTTTCCCAGATATTTCAACAATTTTGAACTACTTTAGTCTTATCCATTAAAAAATATCTTAACATTAGCTAGCAAATGGTTTTCAACAAGGTAACTCTTTCTTACATTGTTTATGTTTTCAAAACTATCCTTAGATGGTCTCCACATAATTTCTAAGGCATTTTGTGAAAAATTAAGGGAAAAGGAGTATAACATTGAAAAACAGAAATCATAGCATTTAAATTTGAAAACTTCAGCTATGCTAGCAGCAGGGATTGTTCTCAAGCACTGGTCTGGCCAAATTATTATGTAGTCTCGATATATTTACTGGAGATGTTTTAAAATTTGACTAAAATAATCATAGCCACATTTCTTATGAATAGATTTTCCTGAAAAGTACAAGTTTTGAGATGAGCAGTAGGAAAGAAAACTCCTTTACTAGTATTTTATTAATACATTTATGTTTTTAACTGCCTAAATACTGGCATAGGAAAAAAAAAAAAAGAAACTGGAGTCACTATTGGTAAGAGGTGAGAGTGCTGGCTTCAAAATAGACATGGACTCCAACATACCAAGTATTGACTCGAGGTTTTTTAACTTTCCAAGTGTGGGAAACCAATACACGCCCCCTAGGAAGCACACTTTTATTTTTGCCTATTGATCTTTTCCTGGCCTCGCTGCAGTTCCCAGTCAACCTCACAATCACAATATTCTCCAGTATACCATGTTGCTGAGCTATGATATTCAGTAGGTTAATAAGTGTATTAAATGCATTTTTTCTTTTATTTTCAACATATAGGTTTATCAAGCTAGCTGTGACAGGCTGTGTAATTTATTCAGCTTCAGCCACCTTATCTGAAAACAAGAATATGAATAGTCCCTATCTTGAAGTTGTTTAAAATTTTTTTTTTAATTTAAAATACTTTGAATACAGAAATGTAAGCTGCCAAAGAACAGTGACTACTGAATTTGTGTTACTGTACTCAAATTACCGGTATCTACTCAATCAAACTATCTAGAAATATATGCCAAAGAATAAAACTTTCACTAGTACACTTCATTTTTTTTCCCCCCTTTTGTGGTGTACTTCATATTTCAAATGATTTTTCTGGTATCTGTTCTCAGCAAAGATTCAAAATTTATTCCTTTAGAATTTAAACTTGTAGGAACTGGGTGTAGAGCCCAATGGTCAACGCTTGCCTAGCATGTGCAAGGCCCTAGGTTCAATCTCTAGCATAAAAAAACTTTGCAAACAGAATTTGGCTTGGCTAGGAGTTTCTCACACATGATACAAAGTGGTCCATGTGCTCTACTAAGGGTAAAAAGAGCTTGCTTGTTTTCCTTTCTCTCTTCCTACTTTTAAGGCAGCCATCTATACAAACAATGAACCAATTCAGTGAGGTAAATAAGAAAAAGGCTCATTTCCTCAAAAGCTCTGAGGAACTAAAGAAAACAAACTGGTTTGGATTACAAGGGGTATGTATGAGGCCAGCCAAAAGTCTATGGAGTTGTACAAAGAACAAAGGCTTGAGAAGTAGAAGGTGAAAATGGTACTGCAGTTGTGTTGCATTGCAAATTGCACTGATTGTGTAAGAGTATGTCCTACCTGAGGAAATCTACTGAGAGACTTAGAAGTAAGAACATAATGTCTGCAACTTATTCTCAAATATATGCCTGACAGAATAATACAATGTTGAGAATTAGTAATTTTGGGTAAACGGCGTACGAAAGTTTTAATTTTCTTACTATTCTTGCAGATTTTCTGTAGGTTTGAAATTATTTCAAAATAAAACTACTAGTTGAAAGTTTAAGAGGAATTATAGATATTCTCACAATCTCAAAAAGCCATCTCAAAAAAAAACAAAAACAAAAACAAAAACAGATTACTTAACTATAAAAGATAAAGAGACAATTGCAATAAAAAATGTTACACCCATCCTGTTAACGAGGGGAATGAATTCAGCATTCCTGGAAATGAGATGAGTTGAATATCAAGTGTCTCCTGATGTGATGTGCCAAGAAGAACATGATATCACATGGTTCTAATCTCATTCCTCAAAATATAACCTGAACCTAATCACAAAGAAATATTAGACAAACATAACTTGAGGAACATGCTACAAAACTGAACTGAACCCTATAAAAATGTCAGTGATACAAGAAATAAAGTTGGATTGGGGAGCCAGGTATGGTGGCACAGGTATGGTGGTGCTGTAATATCAGCAGCTCAGGAAGCTGAGGCAGGAGGATTGCAAGTTCAAAGCCAGCCTCAGTAATTTAGTGAGGTCCTAAGCAACTCAGGGAGACCCTATATCTAAATAAAATACATTAAAAAAAAAAAAAAAAAGGTTGGGGTGTGGCTCAGTGATTAAGTGCCCCTTACAAAAAAAAAAAAAAAAAGAAAAAAGAAAGCTGGTTTGGGGCTGAGGGTGTAGCTCAATGGTGGAACACTTGCCTAGTATGCATGAGGCCCTGGGTTCAATCTCCAGCAATGCTAAAAAGGAGGAGCTGAGTAATTGTTCCAGATTAAAGAAGCATAGAGACATCACAAGTATATGAAGTAGTTGATCTTGGATTGATGTGAAAATAGCTATAAAGGACATGATTTTGACAACATGGAGAATTTTAAATATGTATGCTCTATGTTACATAATAGTATTGTAAGAATGTTAAATTCCCTGAGTGTAGTAACTCTGTTAAGGTTACACAGGAGAATACAATTCTCTTAGCAGATGCATGTTCAAGTACTTAAATGAAGTGCCATGATGACCATAACTTACTTCAAATTTTTCAGGAAAAAGAAAAATCTTTTAAAGGACAAAATAATATCCTATGATGCATAAAGAGACTGTTTACAAGCTGAAATTGTATCATGTATGGTGTTCTTAAAATATACCTTTCCCAGAATGCTGATAGCACACGCCATACCAACTTGACCAACACCCACAACAGTGATCTTATTGTTTGGGACTGTGGTCTCTTCTTCTGCAACTGGTGCAATGAGTTTTTCCTTGAGGGTTGCCATTTCAAACTGCAAGAAAAGAATCAAAACATTATACATATGTCCACATAAGAAATCTGAATGGAAGTTGCCCTTAAGATGTTACTGTTGCGATTTTGAATTAAAGTACAACTTATAATGAGCCTAATTAACAGTGGTAGAGCACTTGCCTAGCATTCACAAAGCCCTGGATGCAATCACATATACCACACAAAAATAAATAATAAAAAATTTTAAATCCCAATAATATTCTAGAACACAGAATATATTTTAAGGAACCAAGTGACTTATATACTGGAAAATTTAATCAAGGTCAAAACCTCCAAGAAATCCCTTAGAATTGAGATTTTTCTCTTTAGCCTACCACTCCATATATTTAATTAGTCTTATTCCCATTTTTGTTGTAATCATTCATTTACTGGCTAAAAGACAGGAACATTTATATTTAAATAAGCTAATTTGTTTCTTTTGCCCCTATCTATATGTAACTATGTAAACTATTTAACCCATATTTAAGATTGGTCAAAAACAATGGCCAGTCATGAATATATTCTATTAATAACTATTATAAGGGCAGGTTCTTATAGTGAAATTGTATCATATATGGTGTTCTTAAATTTCATATAGAATGTGTCACAATGTACTGAACACACAGTAAGTGCTTAATAAGTACATGATGACAACAAAATGGTGATGAATAATATTAATGAAAACTCTGCAAACCATTTGAAATAAAGCAATAAAATTAAAAAAAAAATCAACCTGTTGGAAAGCATTTTATACAGCACCACCCAATTTATCTATGCCATCAGATAAATTTTCTGGGTAGTTGAAATAAATGAGAAAATTTACTGAAACTTAAAAATTCTGTGGCAATTTAGTACACAAAATATACTCTCCTGCCTTTTAAATAGGTTGCAGGCCATAAATAAGCCTTTTCTTCATAATTTATGTATTATAAATGGTTACCCAACATGTCTAATATTTAAGTTTGTTTTCCATTTTTGTGATAGACTGTTGCATCTGAGGCTACTGTACCTGTTTCGAACTGAGTCAACTCATCCTAGTCTTATTTTTCCTTCTACTCTCCAATGGACTTTAAGTAACAAAATCAGATTTAGAAATTGTACATGTTGTAGAGTCAATAAGACTCTCAGGTGGAATAAAGCACCTGAATTCGGAGATAATCATGTAATAACTATTTTGGTTCCATGTTCTATTTTTTTTCTTTCTGAAAACTATTTTCCCCAATCGGTAACAACTAAATTGAGAGATTTTTGCCTTTTCAGATCCCACTTACAGTTTTCTAGTGAATGCTAAAAGATACAATGTCCTGCAAAGGCCTCTACAAATGGATGACCTTAAAATGAAATTCAAACCTGTCCTGCACTTGGGCAGAATCAGAAGAATGCTACATCTCTTCTTGCAGAACTCAGTTAAAACTGCAATTTCCTCCCATTAAGCTTATTTTTGTTTGTTGGTTTAAGATACTTTAGGTATACAGGGGTTCCAGTTAGCCATGGAAAAACAAAAATCCAGAATTGGTTGCCATATAAAAATAGAGTGGTATTCTGATAGGCAATATTTATTTATTTTTACTTGTTTTTAGAATGTCTTTTTTTTTTTTTTTTGAAGTCCTCTGCCAAATCAGAGTGGTGGCTGTTGGGAAAAAGAATGACAAACTATGTAAAAGCAACCAGGGACTCATGGTCCTTTACATCCCTCACCCTTGGGGATATAAATAAACTACTAGAAATGAGCCAGTGCCTTAAGTTCAGGAACAAAGATCCTCTTTACAGAATCTCTCTCACCCTAACCCTTTAAAACCGGGTACAGCCATCTAATTCCTCCACGAAGTGCGTGCCGGCTCTCCCCTTCCCCCACAGCCCAGGCCCCACCTGCAGTCTGCATGGTTCCCAGCCCACAAGCCACCTCTCCAGGCGCGGCGCAGCGGAGAAGGGCAGGTCACGAGGAGGGCGGGCAGCAAACCCAGATCTCCTTGGATAAAGTCTCTGGGGAGAAGTCTAGGCCCTCCTTACTCTCAGCACCCAATGCTGGCAAAGTAAACAAAGCTCCTGAGCATCAAGAGGCCAGGAAAATACCCGCGTAGGGTTCCTGCGGCCAGGGGAGAAAAAAAAAAAAAAATGTAGTGCGGGGCCAAATTTGCAGATCACTGGATACATTTACCCTCATCCCAGCAAACGCAGGAGCAGTTTTCCACTACCCTGGGATCCAGGTTCAAAATCGTCCAGCCTTCTTAACCCATCTGGTTCCTTCCCGCACCCCTAGCTCCTCCAGCACGTGTCCCGGATCCCGCCAGTAGGCACAGGGGATGGCACCCGCCCTGAGCTGATCTAGGGCGCGGTAGGGCCTGGGTTTTGGCAAAAAATGCAACAAGTCTCTCCCCAGGTAGAACGCAGGCCTAAGACGAGCCTGCAGCGATGAGGACAAAGCCTGGGGCTCCGTCGCAGCCTCTCCTCCCCAGCTTCGGTTCCCGGGGCTCGCACAAGGTCCGGGTCCCAAACCGAGAGTCAGGGCCCAAGTGGGGATGCTCGGGAGCACAAGCCCAAGAGAGCAGATGTGCTTCTCGGTCCCTCCTCCCGTTTTGCCACTCAATTACTCCTTTGCACATCCCATCCAGTTTGTCTGTGAGCCAGGATTCGGGGTCCTGGACAGAAACCTACCAGACGATAGGAAGCTCTTGAGACCGCAGGAAGAGTCTTGCGAAGACAATGTCAGCCGCGCGCGTCTCCTCGGGCGCCGGATCTGCAGCCAAGGAGGAGGCGGGACCCACACCCTCCGCAGCCTCTTAGGTTTCTCTATTGTGATTGGAAACCCGAGCACCGCCTACCCCTCCCCTCGGCTCGCTCAATCCCCTTCAAGGACAAGGGCTCGAGTATGCGCACGCCCTCCCCCGCTCCCCAATTGAGGAGGTCACCTTCTCGCGGATGAGGCAGCCTCCGCTCTCAGCTAATGTCACAGCGTACAGGCTCTTTCTTCAATGCGGTCGCCGAGTAATTTCTAAAACCTGCCTGCCTGTCGCTGACTCTTCTGGACTTTCACCATCTTGTGTGGATAGACTTAATACAAATAGATACACATTTCTAGGTTGGATTGAGGTTCAACTTTAGAGGACCAATCCTAGATGTATTTCTTTCCAATGGGTAGCACTGCTTCTGAACCTTTTTAAAAATACAACTGAATTTTAATCATCAGCATTTAAAGTTCATTTGATGAAACTGTGACTTTTTTCCCCCCCACCTTAATTCAACTAATAAGCATTGTTTGCCTGCTAGTTGCTTAACAAACTGAGTGAGGCCTGGTTCCTGCACTCTGCAGTTCCTTCACAAATCTTCAAGGTCAACAAGGGCCAACCTTGCAGTGAAGGGAGATAAGGTGGCCACTAAGCAAGTCGCAGTTTCTGTTAGCTCCTGAATAATTCTAAAGCTGAATAAAGCTGGATGTTATCATCTCTGTCTTCAACACCCAGCCCGGTCCTGGGTACATTAATTCAGTATTAACAAATGAGTGATTAAGCAATTGGAAGTATTCTAAAGACTTAAAAAGTTTCTATTGTTTCTTCTAATTAAGTTGCTTACAAATATAGCGATCTCACAAACTCACTATATGTGAAAAGGAGTTTTGTTTCTTCTGTTTTTTTGTTTTATTTTGTTGGTAAATGTATGGTTTTTGTAAATGACCATAAATTCTATAAATAACTGCTTTAGTTTCTTCTAAGTGCCAAGCATTGAAGGCACAAATATAACTATAACCTATGCTCATTCAGATGCTTCCAGTCCAAGTAGGCAAACTATTTCACTTGCAATACAATGTGTTACATGGTAATAGAAATTTGGTTAAAGCACAATCAATTTCAGAAAAAGGAATCACTAAGGAAGGGGTGTCTTGAGAGAATTGATAAGACTTAACTCTCCCAGCATCTCTCTGATTTCAACATCCAGGTAGTAAGGACTTTGTATGAGTCTGAAGTTGTGGGCTAGTTACAGGGATGTCTGTGTACTTTTCTCCTTATGATGCAGTATAAGTCCTAATAAAGCCTCCTTTTGAATGTTAAGGGGGGAAAAAAAGATATATCCCAGTCATAAATGAAAAAGATAATGATAAGGGAGAGAAAAAAGACTTAAGGGATAATCTCAAAAGCATTACAATCACATTGAATACAAGTTTGAACCACATTAGCAAGACACCACAAGAAACCTAAAATCTACCTTCACCTTTTTCTCATCTACTTTCCCAATAGTATCCAGATTCCCTAGACTTTATTTCTAATTATTTCCACAATTATTCCCCTTCTTCTCATCCCTTTTACAAAGGGATGTGAGTCTTTGAGGGTGGGGCAGAAAAATGACAAGAGGTTTCTATTTCTTCTACTCAGTCCCCATTCTTCCCCACAAAATGCTAATCTGATTGAGCAAAGCAAATTCTTCAATTTGTGCCCATACATGAGAGAAGGGAGCACATGGTACCACTCTGAAACATTTTTGAGAATTGTATGCCAGACAAGTAATCTTTTCTTTTTAAGTGTGAGTATCGAAAGACAGTTTTATATATACAATGATCACAACAATATACTTTTTTTTTTTTTTTGGTATCGGGATTGAACCCAGGGGTACTCAATCACTGAGCCACATCCCTATCCCTTTTTATTTTTTTTATTTTGAGACAGGATCTTGCTAAGTTGCCTAGGACTTTGTTAAGTTGCTGAGGCTGGCTTTGAACTTGCTATCCTCTTGCCTCAGTCTCCAGAGCTGCATGCGCCACCATGTCCAGCAATAATATACTCCTCGTGCCATTCTATAAGAAATCATTTGGAAGCTATATCTCAAATAATTGAAAAATAAGAAAAATTAGGAACATAAGACAAGTTATGGTTCAAAAGTATGGGCTGGCTGGCAGTGGAGCTCAGGAGAAGAATTCCCCAGGTTTGAACCCAAACACAAAATAAAAACAAACAAAAAACACATAGGCAATGATGGCCAAATATTTTAGAGATAAGGATAAATATTTCCCAGAAAATGAGTTATAAAACTGAATATTAACATCAAAAATTGTCAAGAGATTTTTTTTTACATGTGTAATGACAAATTTCCTATGTGATAAGCACTGTTTTAGGGATAAAGAGGGACAAAATGCCTGCAAATGGGAAATGTCATTCTAGTAGAGAATTATAAATGATAAACAAGTTCATGAATAAAAATAGTAGGATAAAGAATGTAGCCAATCATGGTGGTCTATACCTGTAATCCCAGTGACTGAGGAGGCTGAGGCAGGAGAATTGCAAATTTGAAGCCAAGGTCAGCAATATATCGATGCCCTAAGCAACACTGTGGAATCCTGTCTCAAAATTTAAAATAAAAAGGGTTGGGGATGTAGCTCAGTGGTGAAGCACACCTGGATTCAATCCCCAGTACAAAAACAAACAGACAAACAACAATAACAAAAACATGACAGCATACTGTCTGGCCTGTGGATCCTTGGAGACAATTTATTTATGATGTGCTATGTACAGCCTATGGCAGAGAGCAGTTTGCTTCTGTAGTGAATGACCCTAAACTGCTGTTTTTTGGTGTTTTTTTTAGAGAGAATTTTTTTTTTTAATATTTATTTTCTTTTGTTTTCGGCGGACACAACATCTTTATTTGTATGTGGTGCTGAGGATCGCACCCGGGCCGCACGCATGCCAGGTGAGCGTGCTACCGCTTGAGCCACATCCCCAGCCCCTAAACTTGCTGTTTTTGTTTTAACCTTCTGTGCCTTAAAATAGTAGTCTACTGTTATTAGATGGTCAACTATTTTCAAACTATGGTCATTGAACTGTAGAAAGGAATAGTATCTTTGGAGATAATCTAATCTAAATGAATATTCAGTATTTGAGTGACTGGCCTTAAGTTATTCTATGAGTTAAGAATGAAACCAGAAGCCAGGTACAATGGCACACATCTGTAACCCCAGCAATTTGGGAGGCTGAGGCAGGAAGATCTCAAGTTCCAGAAAAGCCTCAGCAATTTAGTGAGGCCCTAAGAAGTTTAGTAAGATACTGTCTGAAAATAAAAATGAAAAGGGCCAGGCATGTGGCTCAGTGGTTAAAAAAAAAAAATCCCTATGTCAAAATGAAATGAGTCAGGCTACGAAGAGAAACACCTCATGATTTTACCTATTTATAAAAGCTTTAAAAGTTAATCTTGTGTTGGGATTTTGAATATTCCTATAAAGAAATGGTAAATGTTTGAGGCAAAGGATATAGCAATTACCTATAGAGCAATTTCAGTGAGGCCAACAGTCACTGTATCGTGTATTGAAATGTCACCCTGTACCCCATAAATATGTACATTAATTATTTGCCAATAAAAAGAATAAAACCAAAAATAGTTTTGCTCTTGGCACTGTGTTCCTATTTGTAGAAATATTTTTCTCAATTCTATTTTCTGTCTTTATTCTTCTGTAGCTACAAACCAGATTAACTTACATCATCAGATTAATAAATTTATTGAGAGTATTTTATTCATCTTTATATTTCCAAGTAGCAAAAAAACTTGGACAAGATATTTTTATGTCCCCCAGCAGACACCCATAAACTTAGATTCAATGTGAGCAAATGAATCCCAAGTCAAGATTTAGAGTTAGGACATCCTTTGGTTTAGTCTCCCTCCTTCCCATCTTCCCTTCCTTCCTTAGGTCTATTTTTAGCTAGGAATGAAACCCAGGGCCACTACATGCTAAGCCTGTGTTCTACCACTGAACCACACCCCTAGCCATAGTTTCTTACATTTTTCTCTGCAATTTTTCATATTTCCCAATTCCCAGGTATATTTCAAAGAGTTGAAGTTCCTTGAAGTTGAGTATAGGTAGGTGAGGTATTACTTCAGTGGAAATATAAATTTGTAAATAGAGAGCAACTGGAGTTGGTGGGTATCACTAACCACAAGGAGAAAAAGGAGGCAGAGGGAGAAACCAACACTAGTAGGGAAAGAAGACATTTGGGAATTTAATGTCTCAAAAGAAAAATAATTGGATTGTGCTGGGTGTGGTGGTACACACCTATAATCCCAGCAGCTCTGAAGGCTGGGACATAAGGATCATGAGTTCAAAGCCAGCCTCAGCAAAAGTGAGGCACTAAGCAACTCAGTGAGACATAAATTACATAAATAGGTCTGGGGATGTGGCTCAATGGTCGAGTGCCCCTTAATTCAACCCCCAGTACCCTCCCCACCCTCAAAAAAAGAAAAATAATTATATTGTAATTAGCCATTCTTTGGGTTGGTAAAACATGAATTACTTTGTCTGTGAACCTACTGGCTATTTGAATAACTATGATTATTAGTAAAGATATATACCTTCATATCATCTACCTATTTATTTATTTATGTATTTATTAGTACCAAGGATTGAACCCAGGGGTACCCAGCCTTTTTAAATATTTTTTTAAAATTTTGAGACAGGGTCTCCTAAGTTGCTTAGGGTCTTGCTAAATTGCTGAGGCTAGTCTTGAACTCATAATCCTCCTGCCTCAGCCTCCCAAATCACTCAGATTACAGCATGAGCCACTGTGCCTGGCTATTTATGTATCTTTTTAACTTTCTACTATCTGCTCACTTATTCGAGAGAACATTTGTTTCATTTTGTTTTCTCTATTAACAAACTATTCACTTTACCCCTGAAAAGAGCGATGGGGCTTTCTATCCTTTTTTCATCCATTTCTTCTTCCTCTCAAAAAACATTGAAGATTCGCAAGGGAAAAACCTGTCTGAAACTGAAGCTA